AGAGAAGAGATCAATTAGCAAGGATCCGGAACATGAACTTGACAATGCACAAAGAGAAGGGATCAACATGAACTTGACAATGCACCAAGAGAGGAGATCAACTAGCAAAGATCCAGAATGTGAACTTGACAATGCATTAGGAGAAGGGATGAACATGAACTTGACAATGAGATACTAAATTAGTGGAAAGCACATGCAGAAAGAGTAGAGATCCACAAGGTAAAGATCCGGAACATTACATCAAACTTGAATTTGACAATGAGTGACTAGACTAATGAGAAGCAAATGTATATGAGGGGAAGATCATCCGGAACATCACAGGATATCATGTGAGTTAAGACAAGAGTCTAAGTGAGCCAGATCACCAAAGTTGAACCAAGGGTCATCCATGAATGTAGCGCTATACTTCCTACTAATGTGAGTGTGAAAAAGACAAGTTTGGAGAACCCAAATCATCAAGATTGCATCAAGAAGCATCTATGTGTGAAGCGCTACACTACCTACTAGTGTGAGTATGAAAAAGACAAGTTTGAAGGACCCAAATCATCGAGATTGCACCAAAGATCATCCATAGAAGAATCGGAGTACTTCCTAATGACATGTAAATAAAAAACAAGAGATTGAGTAGCCCAAATCACAAGTAATCAACTTGAGATCACCCATAGATGAATCGGAACACCACCTACCAGCATGTGAATGAAAAACAAGAGTTGCACTAGGCTATCTCACAAGCTTTGAGCAAGAGATCATCCGTGGAAGAATCGGATGATCTCCTACTAGTATGTGAGTGAAGAAAAAAAATTTGAGAATCTCAAATCACAAGTAAACAACTTGAGACCAACCATAAAAGAATCGGAATACTACCTACTAGCATATGAATGAAAAACAAGAGATTGAGTAGTCCAAATCACAAGTACTCAACTTGAGATCATCCATAGATGAATCGGAACACTACCTACTAACATGTGAATGAAAAATAAGAGATTGAGTAGCCCAAATCACAAGTAATCAACTTGAGATCATCAATAGATGAATCGGAACACTACCTACTAACATGTGAATGCAAAACAAGAGATTGAGTAACCCAAATCATAAGTAATCAACTTGAGATCATCCATAGATGAATCGGAACACTACCTACTAGTATGTGAATGAAAAACAAGAGTTGCACTAGGCTATCTCACATGCTTTGAGCAAGAGATCGTCCATGGGAGAATCAGATGATCTTCTACTAGTGTGTGAGTGAAAAATAAAGGTTTGAGGAACTCAAATCACAAGTAAACAACTTGAGACCAACCGTAGAATAATCGGAATACTACCTACAAGCATATGAATGAAAAACAAGAGATTGAGTAGCCCACATCACAAGTAATCAACTTGAGATCATCCATAGGTGAATCGGAACACTACCTACTAACATGTGAATGCAAAACAAGAGATTGAGTAGCCCAAAACACAAGTAATCAACTTGAGATCATCCATAGATGAATCGGAACACCACCTACTAGCATGTGAATGAAAAACAAGAGATTGAGTAGCCCAAATCACAAGTAATCAACTTGAGATCATCCATAGATGAATCGGAACACTACCTACTAGCATGTGAATGAAAAACAAGAGATTGAGTAGCCCAAATCACAAGTAATCAACTTGAGATCATCCATAGATGAATCAGAACACTACCTACTAGCATGTGAATGAAAAACAAGATTGTAATATCCCACTAATAGGGAGAAGGAGATGGGAGAAGGAGAGGGAGAGGGAGAAGGGGAAGGGGAAGGAGAAGAGGATGAAGGGGGAGGAGAGGAAGAGGGAGAAGAAGAGGAAGAAGAAGGAGAAGAGGAAGAGGGTGAAGAAGATGGGGGAGAGGGTGGAGGGAAAGGAGAAGAGGAGGGAGGAGAAGGAGAGGGAGGGAGAGAAGAAAAAGAAGAAGACGAAGAAGAAGGGAAGAGGAGGAAGAAGAAGAAGAAGAAGAAGAAGAAGAAGAAGAAGAAGAAGAAAAAACTTCCTCTTCCTTCCACTCACCTTGCTAGTGTCTTATAGATGGACTCTCAATCTTGATGAAGTTCTCCTCCTCCTTGCACAACTTCTCCTTAGCTATGGCTTCCTCCTTCTTCAAACCCTTCTCTCCTCCTTCCTTGCTCTCTCTCAGGCTAAAGCAAGCTCCCCTAGCTATGGCTATGGAGTCCTCCCTTCTAGGAGGGCTAATGGGGCTCTTCTAGCCTCTCCTTCTCTCCCACACCCAGAAGGGATATGGCGGATCTACTCCCAAGTGTCTCTCCCGCCATCACCATCCTCTAGAGTCCTCCCCACTACCTCCTAGTCCGCTCTAAGCTCTCCCACTACCATGGACGCCTCCCTCCTCACTCCAAATGCAAATTTGCTCCTGTGAGCTCACTTCGGCAACATGGACACTCCTCATGCAAATGTGAGAGTGGCGGACTGCATCCTCAGCTTATGTACGCTGAAACCAGCAGTCCGGCCAGCCCATGAGCCTCCCCATGAGCCTTGAGGTGAACCGAGGTACCCTTTTTCTCATGTTGAGTCTCTCAAGGCTCTATTTTCTTATGCCTAGCTAGTCCGAGATATCCTGGACTGCTGGGCAACCTTCCCAACACCCTTATTTTACTTTTCTTTCTCCCATGGCTCTCCCATTTGCTCCCACTAGTGCTGCTAATATTTTCCACCGTCTAGATCCTTGATCTCGACGGTGCCGTTTGCTCGCACAAGTATTCCTTGTGTTTGCTCATGGTTCCCTTGGGACATCCCAAGTCCCCGCCATTTTCCTTCATGCTGGCTTCATCTCCTTGTCCCGCCGGCGGTCCCGCCGGCGCTTGTCACGTTTCCTGATTTTTATTATTTGGACCCATTTGGTCCCCGACAACATTCCGGATGGCGTCCCATTTTTATTTTTTTGGGACCCATTGCCCTTGGTGGTCCCATCATTTCTACATGTGTGCTGATTTTTCTAGGCCGTGAGATCTCATCTCACGGTTGCCGTTTACTGTCTTTACTTGCCCCCTTGCCGAAATTGCTCCTTTCTAGCTCTCCGGGCTTGCCGTAGCCAATTTCCCCTTGGCCTTGGCATCCCCATGCAGTCCGTAATTTCTCGGACTGCAGCCATGGCTGTTTTTTTATACCCATAGCCCCACAACTTGCCCCATGTTAAAAGAAAATGAAGCGTTAAATTTTCTAGTGCATCCGGGCTCAATATTGGCTCCGGATGCACATAGAACATGTGTTTTCCTTCCCCCATGCAGTCCGTTGTAACTCGGACTGCAATGGGGGTCAATTCCTTAGCCCCAATGCCCCACAACTAGCCCTCACTCAAAAGAAAAAGAAACGGCCAACTCCCAAGTGCATCCGAACTTGATTTTTGGCTCCGGATACACCTAAAACATGTGTTTCTCCTCATGCATGTAATCCATTTTATTCCGGTTGCAAGAGACCTTGATTTTCTTTGATTTTCTCTGCAATAATCAAAGAAAATCCAAGTCCTTTGTAACCGCCATATTCCAGAATGAATCTGGTCACGGATGAATCTCCCCAAGTGACCGTTTTTTACCGTTAAGGCCTTTTTCTCTTTTCTTTTCTTTTCTTTTCTTTTCTCCTCCTCTCTTGGACAGTAGGGACCTGCCAGTCCCTACCTATGGCAGTCCCTACTGACGGCCAACTCACTCACTCCCTCTCACTCTTTTTATCTTGTTCTCCCACATTTTCTTTTCTTTTCTCTCTTTTTTCTAGCATGCCAAGTGTCAAGTGTCCGTTAAGGCCCTTTTCTAGCCTCTTCCTCTTAGTTTTGGCCCTCCCTATGCCCAAGGTGCAGTCCGTTATTTCTCGGACTGCAATAATGGTCTTCCCGTGCCCATGGGAGCCTCCTTTTACTCCTACATTTCTCCCACAGTGGTCCCTCCTACTCCGATTTTCTCCCGGGGGACTATTTTTCACATAGGGTCCTATTTGACTCTATTTTCTTGAGGGAGGCTGACCCGAGATTTTTCGGATTGCTCCCATGCCTCCCACTTCAGTTTTCTTTACTTTTCCTTTTCCTTTTAGCCTTCCCCTTTGTCACCACTATTTTTTATTTATTGATTTCATTCTATTGGATTTATCTTTTTCTTATGATGAAAAGAGAATTCTGAATCTTCTCATTCTATAGATAAAAATTTGCTCAAGTAAGTATTCAATGAATTTAACGAAATATTTTTAGTAACAGTGAATAGAATAGAATCCAAATAGATTAAGACTATTAGAATAGATAAAATCTATCTATTCTAGATAGTACTTTCACATGTCCCCGCCAATTGTCCCGTCGGTGGTCCCCGACACTTAGTCCCGCCGGTGGTCCCCGACACTTAATCCCGTCGGCGGTCCCCGACACTTAGTCCCATCGGAGGTCCCCGACACATTTCGCCCCGGATGCCATTATTTTTACTTAGTCCCATGTGGCCCCGGGTGCCTTTCCCCGAGATGTCCCATGCCCCTTGGGCGTCTTGTCGCCCTATAGCGACCCCTCTTCTTAGTCTTTCCTCGCGCCTTGCGTGTGCCGATCTCTTTGGCCGTGGGCCTTCGCTCCGAGGCTCCCGTAGGTGGCCCCTATGTTGGCCCCTCATTTCCCGGCTTCCCGCGGCTTCTGGCCGCCCATCCCTCGACTTCCTCCTTCCCTTATTGGTGTCGTGCTGCAATCGCTAGTTCAAAGGCCCTTTGACCCTAGTCTTATTGCATTCCGATGACCCTCCCGGCCTCCTGCTATGTTCTATATGCCCCTGTTCTTGCGCTTGCTCGCTTGCCGCCGCTTAGTTCTTTCCCCTTGTGGTTCTTGCCCCAGGGCATTACTCCCTCCTGCGGCCTAACCCTTTATCTCGTCTCACTCTGGATTTTTCTATTGTGCACAATTCGTCCATATTTGGTCTCTCAAGTGATGGGAAGTTATTCGGGACTCACCAGTCCCAACACCGTACCCGAAAGATGACTTGAGTGGAGATGAGCGCGGGGAGACCGCTGAGGGATTCCGCCCCCACGACGGTGGTGGTTGCCCACATGCAGAGGACGACGATGACGCATGGAGTGACCCTGAGGAGGTTCGCTGGCGCAGCAGTGGCAGAGATTTATTCGATGACACAACGAGGGGCAGGGCTGGAGTTGAGGGATGCTGGGATGGATCGGGGAACCCTCATGCCGTGTTGCGTCCTCATACCTCATCGCTGCCCGTACATGTTGGACGCAACTCAACTCCGCCCACACAAGGGGCAGAGGGTGACATACCGGGCATGCGGGGAGCCCATGACAGACAACGTCTGACAGGCAGGGGCTCATCAAACAACACCAAGGATTCAGAGGGACGTGGCAGGGGTGTGAGGCTTGAGCAGCTTAGGAAGGGTCCGAAGCACACCAAGAGACAACTCATACTACGTTCTGAGTAGCCGCCGTCATCTAGGGATGCGGGGACAGGGGGAGCGTCTACCAACCGCGGAGAGATTAGCACCAAAGATGTTGCTGGTGGTGTTGCTTCTGAGTTGGTCGAGGTATGGTTGCTAGGGGAGTTGGGGACGCTCGGCAATCCACCTGGTGGTAGCGCATGTCACATTGAGCAGTTCGATGATGCCTATTATGAGGGGGCACCACATGACCAGGCTGGACTTGGGGACCATGCTATGGAATCAGCATCCATGCGCGATTTCATGGCCGAGCTTGAGGCTACTCTGCCAGCCATGATGGAGGGTGAGTCTATTGTTGCGCGACATGCCGACGGCGAGGACGTTTGGTCTCAGCCACAGGTGGTTCACATGGGAGAGCCTACACCGGACACCGAAGAGGACCGCATGGCTCGAGAGGCGAGGGAGGATGAGGAGGAGGCCGCAAGGGCCAAGACCCTGGCCGATGCCGACCCGCGCACACAGGTCATGGCATGTGACATGAAGGCTATGCGTCAGCTACGGACGGGGGGAGCAGGAGCGCGAGGCTATGTTGTGGAGGATGTGCAGATGGAGGGCCCAATTGGTACTGCGCACGCACAGACATTGGAGTCTCATGGGTTGGTCGAGGATGCAACTGCCCACACTTCACATGCAGTTCGAGAGAGGTTCGAGAGAGAGAGGGCGAGACAGCAGGGCCCGATATCGACGGTACATCCATCGTCCCAATACCACGAGACGGAGAGACGGACGCTATTGTAGTGGCATACGATGGAGAGGCGTGCGGTGAGATAGTGATTGACTCCACCGTGCCAGAGGTCCATGCTGCTCAGTTGGCTCAATTGGGAGATCCCGGAGAGGTACCAGCGGGAGACGTGGAGGATGAGGAGGCAATTGGGAGTCCAACGGCGGTGGGGGGAGACGTAGAGACAGGGGAGGACGCATGTGGGGAGGTACATGGAGATGTGTGTACGCCCTCGACTTTACTTGCTTCTGGCGTGGAGGAGGGAGCAAGTGTCATGGCGTCACCGCCCATTCAGCAGGATGCACCGACGGGCACACATCGCCAGCGTCGTCGTCATCCACCTGGTCCTGGGACGCAATGCACTCATTACGTAGAGCAGCCACGAGGCAGTTTGATGTTCGATACGATGATTGTTGATGAGTTGGGCACGTGCCTTGCGACGGATCTCACAGAGACGAGACGTGGAGTGAGGATCGACTTAAAGAAAGCCAAAACACTTCTACCACGCCTGCAGTTCGTTTCATGGGGCCCTGCTAGCCGAACACCGTCATCAGACGCTTCGATGGCGGTGGGTGCTATGGGAGTTGGTGCGGCACACTCCCCTCCCCGTGTGGCACGAGATCGTGGGACACGATCGTCTGCGCCAACCTCAGCGGTGGGCAGGCCTCAAGAGCGTCGACATGCGACAGCGGGGGCCGTGGCTTCTTTACTCGGGTGCACTGACGTGTCGTGGAGCAACACAAGGAGGTCGACGACGGCTACCAGGAAGAGGCAGCTCGGGTTGGGGAGGTGACGCTCATCCACGTCATCGACGAGGGAGGTGTACGTTGCTGGGTTCGATCATCGTGGAGGGTTGGGTGCTGATGTTGAGGGAGCGGGCAGACGTGGATCTGCAGCTCCTGGTGCACGAGTGTCGACTCACGGATTGAGGGAGGTTTCACAGATTCTTGGGGTAGATGCGTTGGGGCCTCCCAGGACACAGAGACCGATACCTCTACGAGCATCACACCGGGATGGTGAAACCACCGGAGGCAAGAGGTTGGAGATGATGCGAGGCAGACGTCGCACGGACACCCTTATATCGATGACACAGTGGGATATTAGACGGGATGGTGTTACGGTGGTCGACGACGATCACACCGACGCCGCTGCAGAGGAGGTTGACGAAGAGGAGGACCTTTAGATACTCAGGGCACGCAGGACGACATTGGAGGGTGGCGAGCGGCTGACCACGAGCCCGCCCACACGCTCTGGACGTTATTGACTTTTTTTGTGTTTGTTACTGGACAGCGGCACGACCGCATCATGTAGTTTTGACATGTTTCTTTACTGTGTGTCGCAGTAGCATGTTATTTTTTCCTTATTAGGCAACACATTTTTTTCTTTTTTTATGCGGATGGTTCACTGTGAAACCTTTCTTGGTGCAGATACGTTTTGACCTTTCATATTTCGTATGGTACACGTACTTCGACATCAGTGTTTGTTATTGTCCATGAAGTTTTTTCGCGACATAACTCTATGTGCAGACGATGCAACTGTTATCGGCCGCAAACTATGTGCAGCTGTATGCCGACATTGTATAATATGTGCTCATTGTTCCTTTCCATTTGTGATGCAAAACCAGAAACATGAAAACCACGTCTGCCTATTTTTTGTTGTTTCTTTTTTTATGCAGGACTTCGATTTTTTCCCCCCCTCTGGGCTACTACTCCCATCAAATGTCATGCCCGCCTTAAGTTAAGGCGGGCACGAGGTTTGCTGGGGGTAGCCCC